ATATATAATACATAATATATAATATAGAGAGAACATATATATAAGGGGACATTATATTATCACACAATCAAGTTTATCAGAGTATTCTGAGACAAGATACCGCACAGAGCAGAACCGTTGGCCTGTGGCTCGTTATCGTTGAATAATCAAATATAGCTACGAGGGAGCTGGCATCAGAGGAAGAGGCGATTCACTGTTGTGAAACGATATGCAAAACTACAACAACCACACTTTCCCATATCTGTCCCACAAAAGACAGTCTCTGATTGAACGCTTTACTCTGCAGTTCAGTGCTGATGTCTAAAACTAACTAACTAACTAAAAACACATTTGTATGAGTACATGTGGGGAGCACGTAGGTTATGGTTAAATACTGAGAAGAGTCCATTATGCATACATGTACTTATATTAAGTCCAATGATGTTTGAGATAATGTATTTTTCAGTTATCTTGACACCTTCAGTATCCAATAAAGGAGAACATACACAAGTATTTCTTCTTTCCTACAACACTTTTTTAAAGTAGTGTTTCCATACAAACACGTTTATAATGGTTTCCTTCTTTCGTGAATATAATGGTGATTTTTCTTTTCATATTTTAACTTTTCCCTACCTTTTTAATATAATAAATACGCTAAAGGTCCATGTCTGCTTCTCTGGTTATCACCCGTACCCTTGTGGTTATGCAAGGTTTTTCTGCATGTAAACGGTCTGCAGAGTCAAAAACCCTCAAGTATCACCCCTGTAAGGGAGTAAAACCTCTCTCGTTGGACATTTCTCCTTTTTCCATGTTTGTTCCTGGGTCGTGTGACGTGTGAACACCCAAATCAACAACAAATGACCGGATTGACCAAATGGCACCAATCCGAGCCCCTCACAGCGCACCAAGGATCCCTTGGCTAACCTATCAGGGAGTCCCATTGACTTGCATAGAGCCTCCCTGAACGCTGGTCAATAGACGGTTGGCGATGGTGGAGCAAATGCTCTCCGAGACCCATTCTCACAGCGTTAGAAAGACTTTTTCTCTACTCAATATCAAAACAACTTATTGTTTTTACTTCGCGTGAGTGTTTGGTGTGTGCTCAGGATGAGTTTCGCTTGTTGCTCGCTGTATCGCGACCCGGAAACCCTGTCCGCTCCTCGCAGCTAGTTGATGTTACGTATCGGCCGAGGCTCTCGGAGCGTGTGGTCGGTAATCGCCCAGAAGCCTTTTTCTGACCTTGTCCCAACAGCTTGTATCGTTAATGGGCCATGATGATGTCATGACGATGAACCCTTTTGCGAACCAATGGCCTGAAGCTTCAAGCCTGTCGATAAGGCTTCATCTCGCATCATACTCACAGCAGATCAGATCGGTTGAACCGTTGAACCACGGGGGGGGGGGCAGGCGCTCCAACAAGCCGTTTAGGACAGAGGGTGAATACACATACTATACAGAGATGCTGTATGAGAAACCAATGTGATTTTGGAAAATTGCAAAATTTAAATCTATTCTAGTAGACCTCAACAATGGAAATATGATCAGTAGAAATGGCCATGACATGGGCATACTTGCCAACCCTCCCGATTTCTGCGGCCCGATTTCATTGCCCTCCCCCGGTTTTCCTCCCGGGGTCATATTTCTCCCGCATTTCTCCCGATTCCCGACAAAATCAGATTTACTCACGACTGTTTCCACTCTGACTTTAATACAGCTACACCATTGTTTGGTTTCCATGGTAACGCGTCTCTTTAGTAGCGCCCGCAACTGAAAGTCTGAGAGGGTGAGGAAGAGAGTCACAGAAACAACAAGAATCGACAACTACTCTACTCTCTGCTCACTCCTTTCCTGGTGAGGTCCAGCCCACACATATGCTGCATCAAGGATGGTGCTACAGGCCGCAAGGCAGTGCACTTGGAACTACAATAAGCATGTTAATGTTAATCTAACAGCTCCGGCGATCCACTAGTAAGCCCAGCCCCCACCCCCCCCACCCCACTGCGGTGGCTCCCGATTTCTGAGGTCTCAAGGTTGGCAAGTATGGACGTGGGACCTTTAAGTGTGTGCAACAAACACCGGGGATCATTCCTTGTAAGTGAACATTTTCTTGGCAATATACTTCACCCTTTCTTTCTTTGAGCAAAATGACACAAAGCAAAGGATTTGAGTTCTTCCACCACTGAACAAAGCCAAAGCAAAGAAAGTGTCTGCAAAATGCAATGTTCCCGTCTCTGTTTGGGGTTCAAACCCATTGTTTACACTGAAATTAAAGTAAGGGGGGCGCCACAAATGGCCTAAACGGAAAAAGACGTAAACAAACTCGCAATCTTGTTAGAAGAGTCTCACGTTTCAGACGGTGAGACATCGGGAACAAGATTTCAGGAGAAAGAAAACGAGTAGGAAAACAAAGATGTGTGGGGTAAATGACGGTCTCTGGGGAGCGATGTTTAGGATCACAGTTCACCTGGACCCTCCGGAGAGTGTGTACTTGTGTCAGTGCATGCATCAGAGGGAGTGTTTCTCTGCTTGTAAGTGTGTGTCAAGAGGAACATTAATGTAAGACTTGACCCCGGGAGGGTGACCTTTCACCTTGAGATCATGCAAAGGTCGTCCAGCTGTGGGTAAGAGTGATGGGAGCTGTCGCGCTTGTGCTTGTTATTAACGTGCTTTAAGTCTAGGCTTGGTGAAATACTACTGCGCATTTACAAGAGGAAATGTTTCTTTTTTTTTTTGTTAAGTTATTGTGTCAGTAACATGTTGGAACTGCTCCAGGATTGATGTCACTTCCTGATGGCTCCATGCCATTAAAGACTCCCAGTGAGCAGGCATGCATAATGGCACCACCCTAAAACTGTTAATCCAATACTCATGTTATCAGTCACACCTTCTATCTCCTTTTTTGGCAAGAAAGGTCAGCTGTCACCACACGACTTTGTCCTTAAATAGGCTAATCTTTTTCTGTCTCCACTCATGATAGAAACACACAGAATGACATCATTGGTTAATGTTTGCAGTACATGTCTGAGAGGAAATCCCCCTGCATCATCACAGCTTTCCACAGACAGGTTTCTGTTGCAGGTAATGGTCTGAAAAACCTGCCTTAATGACTCTCTGAGAGTATTTTCACACTTACAGTTTATTTTTCTGTAGCCCAAATCCGTTGATGAGTTCATAAGCTCAAATTTGTTCTCCCCTTGGTTTAATTTGTTATTACACAGAAATATTTAATCATCAACCACGTGAACACCTTAACTAGGTCAGGGTTCTCTGGGGTGGGAGGGAGAAAGTAAAATGTGTTCAAAACACAGGAGCTTCTTCCTTTATTTGCTGTGGAGAAACATTGATATACCTTTAGTATTTTTGACTTTTTATTTAAATCATCCAGTATTACCACCTACCTACCTACCTACCAGCGACGTGCAGTCAGGGAGGCAGGAGAGCCTCACCTGTCATACTCCAATGTAACGGAAAAACAACTAAAGAAAAACTAAATAGTAATAATAATAAAATGTCTCCACTGATCTATGATGTAAGTGTGATTTATGTATGATTCCAATCGCTTTTTAAAGTCAAAATCAGCAAATTTGCCGAGCTCCGCTACAACTACGGATAGCGATGAGAAGTGAGGCAGGGACGAGCTCTGCCTCTCGTAAGCCCACAGTAACTTGCTGGAGCGCGGGCACTAATTTAGCGCGGGCACTTATTTTGTGAGCGCGCTCAAGCCAGTTACTGTGGGGTGAGGTGAGGCACAGATGAGCTCTGCCTCACCTCAGAATGCGTCACCCCACAGAAACTGGCTGGAGCGCAGGCACTAAGCGCAAGCCTGTTACCATCTCACTGTAGGTCACCAATGTAATGTTTGTAGATCCCTTTATTACATTTATCCTCACCATCCATAGTCTCTATATAACTTATTTAACGTATATATATGATATTTAGGCTCGCTGGTCTCATCATACAACGGCAATGAAAAAAGCACCAGGGGAGGCAGCCATAACCTCTGCCGCACTGAAGGGGGCGCACGTGAGCCCACAGGTTCTTGTTGCTACTGTTATTCTACGCAGAGACGGTAGACACAAACAACAAACTAGACTTTTGAAACTACAGGAAGATAAGGAGGACTTTTACAAAAAAGTAATAGAGATTGTTGTCCAGAAGGATAGCATGGACTTCATCTTCAAGTCAAGGTAGGACCACAATTTTAATTAAAATGGGATCTTACTGATTATACTATACTAAACTATACTATAATAGTATAGTTTAGTATAGTATAATATAGTTTAGTATAATATAATATAGTATAGTTTAGTATAGTATAGTATAGTTTAGTATAGTATAGTATAATATAGGGCTGTGCAATTAATCGTATTTTAATCGCGATTACGATAGAGAACCGCAGTGACGCGTCGTAAAACCGGGAAGTAAGTTAGCATTTTTAGCACTTCCGGTTCCTTCCTCAACCCTATGGAAAAAATGCATTGCTTTTTGAGGAAGGAACCGGAAGTGCTAAAAATGCTAACTTACTTCCCGGTTTTACGACGCGTCACTGCGGTTCTCTATCGTAATCGCGATTAAAATACGATTAATNACCAACAGGCTTCATGGATTATTATCTATTTTTCATAAATGAATAATCCAGCTTTGTTTTTATTATGACAAGAACATTGTTTTATGAAAGGGAATTAAAGATTAAAGCCTTTCTTTTGTGCATTTGAACAGTTACACACACGC